TTTGGCAACAAAGAGGTGGAACTTTATGGTTCAGCACTTAAAGAATTTGGTTTCAGCCTTCCAAAGTCCCAGGATCACTGGCGGATCAGGCGACCAAAAGATACTCTAGTTCTGGTTGGAGGAGACCAACTGAATCCAGATGTTGGTCAGCGCATACCGAGCAGGGAAGTTTGGTTTGCAAACTCCCTACGCAGTGGCACAGGGTTGGTGAAGGACATTGAGTGGAGGAGATTAACTGAGATTCCAGATAAACCAAAGTTTAGGCATGGAGTTGCCGTAATGGATGGGAAGCTGTATGTGATTGGAGGGTGCTTCTTTTATGCAAAGGATGACATTATGAAATCTGCCTACAGGTAAATAAAAACTGTTAGTCAGTGAATATACATCTTCTTGCATTCACAAAAACAGATTGTTACATATATCACATTTTATTTTTTTATTGCACTCATGCTAGTTATGACCCAGTGAATGATTGCTGGAAGAGGCTGGCAGACATGCAGGAGTTCAGAAGTAACCTCTCAGTCGTGGTACGTGAATCGCACCTTTATGCCATTGGTGGAGATAAAGACATCAACACCAACGTAGACAGTGTTGAGATGTACAACCCAGACACTGACTCCTGGAGGTAAAATTAGTTATTTAAAATGAAACAGAATCTTGAATAATGGATGATGGATATTTTAGCTGGGCTTGAATAATCTATCTGTTTTTGAATTGTGGACATACCAATCAGCCAACAAAGTTAAAAGACTGAGGCAATATGAAAAGAGTCAAGTTTTATAATAGTTATAATGGATAGAAGTTTTTAATGCTTTACCCTTAAATTTAAATGCAGTACCATGATTTCCACAGCAGATGTCAGTCTTGCCCTTGAATTATAGTATGCAATGTTTAAAGAAATTTGTATTTTGCTGTTCTGGTTTCACCAGGTGGAAAGTTACACACATATGGTGGCGCAATTTGCTGTTAGGAGGTTTTTAAAATGTTATTCTATCTTAAACAGAAATGCAAGTTAAAGAAAGCAAAACAACATAAATATTGTCTATTACATGAGACAGCATTCAGTTATAGCATTTGTGAGTTAAAGAATGAAATCTAAACATTCAGACGTTAATGAGGATTCATCCGAGTTGCTGCCTTCACCTCGTCCAAAGTCATGCTGTCATCACAGAAATGTAAGCTGGAAGGTTCATGGACAATGCAGCTGAATCACTTTTTGTTTATATTTCACATGATGCTCATTTCTGATAAAATTGTTTTGTTAAAGTTACATATATGTCAAGTAATGCCATTTTGTGGTATATTGGATTCAAGGCAGATTAAAAAAAATATTTTCCTTACAACTGTCCATTTGGACATGACCGCCTGGCTTCTCTTGTTTCACAGCTTTGTCCAACCGCTGGACCTGGCTCTGAGTGGCCATGCTGCTGCTATCATTGATGGAGAGATTTTCATATCTGGAGGTTTCAACTGCAAATATGAGTGCCTTGTTTCCACATGTCTGTACCACCCAGAGAGGGGAACCATCTACCTGGCAGACATGACCTATGATAGAGCCCAGCATTGCATGGAAGCCCTACAGAGTCATCTATATGTTGCTGGTGGAGTCTGTAACCTAAGGAAGTTTTACACTGATCAACTAGTTTGTGAGGTATATGATATTGTGGCTGATTGCTGGACTACTTTTGCGTCACTGCCCATGCCCCATGTTGGTGCAGCCTCCATTGTTATGGAGGAGAAGATCTATGTACTGGGAGGGTATTGCCAGGATGACTACAGTGAGTCTGCACTGGTCCACCGCTTTGATCCCATCATGCAGAGATGGGAGACTATGGGCAAACTGCCTGGAGCTGTTACAGACATCCGAGCTTGTCTGATGCACCTGCCCCAGCACCTCAGACAGTAACTGTTTTATTGAAATGATACACTCCTCAATTAGGCAGTCTGTTTAAACACTGAAATTACTGCAATAATAGAAGTAAAATATTCAAATGTGGATATCTAAGGCCTCA